CATCATCATCATCATCATCATCATCATCATCATCATCATCATCATCATCATCATCAGCAGCAGCAGCAGCAGCGCAGCAGCAGCAGCGCAGCAGCAGCAGCAGCAGCAGCCTCATCCTCGTCATTATCACCATCAATCATCATCGTCTACGTAAAATTGACCTGCATGGGCACCGGGTCGGAAAAGTGCAATGTATCGATTGTGAAAATTAGCACGACTACACGTTTGGTTTCCGACCCGGATGCAAAAACATTGTAAATTACCAAATACCTGACGCTCCTTGCCTGTATCGCACTCAGTGCTTTCCTGCGCATGTCTTGCGAGCCTGGCCTACCTCCATCCAGTTGCACGTTTTCTCACGTATGTCTCGGTGGTGTGGAAGCAAGGCGCTCCACTCGCCGCTGCTGGAGCTGCAGGGTCTCAGAGGTATGAGCCATCTCATCCCAGAAGACGCGCAGCGGCAGATCACGAGACAGGCGAGACAGGCCTGTGCCAGGCTGTGCGGCAGGAGAGCGGCGGACCACACTGAGCAACCAGCACGTTTCCCCCAGCCACCGGAATGCCACCCCAGTCCCACCGGTACTCGCGCCTGAATCTGAAACCGTCTCCACCGATTCCTTCTGCTTGATAGGTCTTCGACCACCGAGTTCTCTCTTCTTCAGGTCCAAGCCTCTGACTGAGGGGTGTTCTGGATCTGAAGCAAGAGGACATCTGCTAGTTGGATTGGGAATTCCGCAACTGGCAACAGACCTTTCTGGAAGCCCTGGTTCATTCCTGCTCATTCGAACTTTACTGCAACTTCCTGGTTGAGATCAGTGAATGAGGATTCGCCCAAAACACTTGACCGGAGGACCCACAAAATCATGCAAAAACAGATGAACGGCCAAACGTGTTTGTTCTTGTCCTGTCTGATCCGGATGCTTTCCAATAGTACAAATCTATCTATGGGGGAGAGGCTCCACCTTCCATGTGGCAAGCCGTGTGAATGTTTCTCAAAGTGTGAGGAAGAAGTCACCAGGAGCAAGAAAAAGAATGCGTCGCCGTCAAATCATTGAGTTGGGACCATATGTCCCTTTTGGGAAAATAGAGGAGATCAGAGGGGGGCGATGCCAGACATTATAGTCCTATTGGATTGTACATTTGGGGCTATCCCCCCCAATGAATCCACTGTTCAAACAGAATTCCCAAATCCACCCATCACCTCGGCGATCAGATCTCGCTGCCTTTCCCAAAACAAAGTCTTTCGCGAGCCCTGCGCCCTGCAGCCCAGTCGCAGCGCTGGAGGTCCTCTTGAAAAGCTGCAGATTGCCAGAGTTTGGAGGTGCTCGGGGCTGGAGGCAGCTCCTCCTGTGGGACGCAACTCGCACCGCGTAAGAATGCCGCCAGTGTGAAGGACCGTTTGCTTTCGAGTCTTTCGCACACAGGTGATGGTTGGGACCCACCCAAATGGGCAAAGAGCACCATTCTTCGGCCAGATGTTTAAAGAAATGTCCGAGAATTGCACCACCTGGATGTGCTCATGCGACTCGTAGGTTGAAAAACAAAAAAAGAAGACTGCTGAGAGGTCAACACACATGTTTTTTCATGTTTTTTCCAGATCTTCCAGCCACTTTTGCCGTCAACGACAGGACCTGCTTGTGGTCAAAGCGTAGTGATGGAGGTTGATTCGTGTTTTGTTCGCGTCTATGTTGTGGCTTCCAGACCGAGAATGTCAAGTTCTTGATGCTCTTGATGGTTTCTGTGCTGAACCACTTGCACCCACTCCAAACAAAAGAGAAAGTGAACCGGTTCCAGCCACTCCCTCCTGCTCTCCCACGAAGGGCCCCCTGGAGACTCCTAGCAAAAACTCAGTATTGACCAGCTGGACCCTCCCACTCTTCCAAATGATCTGCCGTGAAAACCCCCCAAAAAAGAACACTTCATTGGTATGGTGGGGCAGGGAATTCTGATGTCCTCTCAGGGAATTCAGATCTTCTATCCACTTGGTACACTACACTTTCCACTGCTTGGGCCTCGGGTAAGGGCATCAGCACGGACTGCTTGGAGCCATTCCGCAGCTGCGCTAAGGCGCTATCGACGCTCTGCGTTCCTCGCTTCGAAGAAGCCGGTTTTCGGTTCGAACATGTGTAAGATCTGGGTGAAGATCATTTGAAATATTCAGTTTAAAACAGCAAGTGAATGATTTAATTTGAAAATAAATAAACAAAAAAAACAGCCAATGGCACCTTTATAATCTGTCTATACATTTCTTGAGATACGCGGTCCGCTACCTCCTCAATGAATGGGATCAGGCCCTGTTTCTGTGGATGGACTGTTGGATGTGGTTCGCTTTTGATTGGTGGTGAGTCTGCCTCCACATGCCGCGGCTGAGTCTCGAGTGGCCTTGGCCTTGAACAAGCTCGGTGGCGCACCGGGGGGGCGGTGTAGCCGTAGCCAACATCGCCATCATGGTACTGGGAACCTGCCAGGAAAGGGCTTGGAAGGTACGGGCGTTGAAAGGGCATGGTCGTGTCCCTGTTTTCAGGATCTGGTCATTGAACGCTTGAAAGCCAAGCGATCAGGATCCAACTCAAAATGCCCCCACCCCTGGTCCTGAGTCTGATGAGTTCTTCAGGCTTTCCTTGGGATCCCGTCGGGACATCAACACCGTTCTACATCCCTTTGGGGGGGGGCAACCACCGAGGGTTCCACCTCTTCTTGTTTGGATTTGTCCCCAATTCCCCAAGAGTTCGGTATTGGCAGATGATCCACATACCTATCGAGATCCCTACCGGACACAACACGACCATCTCCGTCTTTCCGTCTTTCGCTGCGCACCTCCAGGGAGGACGCGCGGGAGCTTTTCCCGAGGCGCTGTGCTCGGTCGCCACACCGTCCAGCGGCTTGGCCTCCGAGTCACGTCGATCGGGGGGTCGATCGGGTCGTGTGACGCGGCGGGTGGGAAGCGGCAGAGGATGAGGGAAGAGGGGCTAGGCTACTGAGCGCCTGGGCGACTTCGGCTAGGCTAGGGAGGCCAAAGTTCCATGATGTTTCACAAGTTCCATATTCCAAAAATCCAGAAGGAAAGTAATTAGTGTGTTGGATGGTGTCAAGCTTTGTGTTGGATGGCTTTCCTCTAGATTGCCCGTAGTTTAAAACTGTGGGTTTCTTAAGCGTCAGATGATGTAAGAGATAAAAGTGGCGAATGCGAGGCAAAGTGAAATAAGTTCACAGCAAATCAGGTGTTATGCTCGTTCCTCCAGTCTCCACCAACGGGTCGACTCCTCGTGTCCTTCACCCAACCCAGGGGGGTCAGAACCCCAAACCAACTCCCGTCGTCCTCCGTCTCCGCCCGCCCGTCGTCGGGCGTCTGTCTCTCCCCGTCCTCGACGTCGCGGCGGTAGCACTCGCCCAAGCGCCGGTGCAGCTCCCAGAACTCCATCGCGTGGAGCGGCACCACGTCGCCGACGGGAGCTCGTTCGGCCATGGGCGGGAGAAGGTGTGGGCTCCGCGTGGGCGAGTTGGGAGTGGACTGGGGGTCAGCATTCTGGAGGTTGGGGGGGAAAGTGGGGAAAGTGAGATGAAACTTGGAAAAGGTTGGAAAAATGAACCTTGAGAAAGACTGGAGAAAAACTAGCTGCTGATGCATTTCTTTTCTGAGGTTCCTCTGTCCAAAGCGACCTCCGAGCCGGTTCTTCTGCAGTCGACGAGTCAAAACGCATTTTCGGATCGCTTTTGGACCAATCTCCGCCATTGATTGAATAGCCTGAATCCCGAAGCACCATTGTTTTAATAAAAATTCTACACTACATAACCAGGTCAACCATTCCAAAAAATATAGTGTCTTGGAAGGCGTTCGCAGGTGCTGCATTGGGATCTCAACGATTCTCAGCATTTAACAATCGACCCTGAGGCTGGCCGCCGACTACTTGCCACCTTCACCCACGGCCATGCAAGTCGTTACAAGCTGAGACCTTAAGTGACCCTGGGAACCTGGGACTACAAGTAGCACGAAAGATCAAAGATCTTCTTCAAGAAAGAACACCACCACTCTCGCCATCTTTCATTGGCATATCCCATGATCTCTCATCCTCTCATCCAAACCCCTGAGATCAACTTCTACCTCATCTCCCCCGAAACAGAACACCATTCTCGCCAGTGAAGCTCAGTGGCCGAAACTCGACCGGCGAACGACCGGCCGGCGAACGACCGGACGGCGAAACTCCGCCGAGTGAAGTGGTGGGGCAAAACGCGACGGGGGGGGGGGGGCAAAGAGACAAAGCTCCTGAACCGGGAGGGGAAGAAGGGAGGAAGCGAAGAAGGGAGGAATCCGGAGAGATTCAAGCCATATACAGTAATAACATGTCATAATTATACCCTGAGGTACGGTGATTGGAGACTCTTTTATGCAGGCACCATTGTCGGGTCCAATCACCGTACCTCAGAGGGGTGGCAGTGGCTCCTTAGGGATAGGGCAATGTCTTCTCCCCTAGTGCGATGGACACACCATCCCGGGCAAGCTCGACCCACGCCATCCCCTGCCACGCTGCTGCTCTGATGGAAGTTGGCCATCACCAGCACCCGTGTTTCAGGTGTGCAGCCACGTTCAAAGACCAAGACGTCTGCAATCTGCGGCTCCGGTGTCTTGACCTGGCGACGTTCGACGCCAGAGCGATCCGAAGAACGTGACCACGTGGTCCTCTATGTGTTTTTGTCTCTACCCGGGCCGGCGGAGCCCGGGACAAAGACGGAGGTTCGGAAGAAGAGGACCCAACTCGCCCGCACCTGAGAAAAGGATCTGAACCGATCTCCGTGGTCACTGTTGCAGCTGCACCTGTTGTTCGCCCGAATCGCGTGTCCGGCCTCGTCGCAGGCCTCAAGCCCAAAAGATCCAAAGTAAGCCTGCCACAGCCATGGCGTTCTTCCGGGACATGGCACCGCATGGTGAGAGAGTCGTGACAAACCATTCGTCCAATGCTGAAGCAGCTGACGATGCTCATGACGTGTTTGAGTATCGATTCTTTCATCCGCAAGAATTCCCCAAGAGACTACTAACCCAACATTGCATGACACAAAAGACTACCCAGTCATGGTTGACATATACTCATATATACATAGGTCATATATATATATATACCCTAGAAGTCCAAAGACTATATTTGGCACCATCCAAGTATAGGAAGTTCCTGAACTCGGATCATCTAAAGACCGCTTTAAAAATGGTCGACTGGACTTGCAGGGTATATATATATATATACATATGGGTCACCCATATCTATGGTCCCTTCGCATCCCAAAACGCACACCGACCTCGGGACGTCCGACCCGTCCCAGCCGTCGGACGGAAAGGAAAGGAACGGAACGTCGGAGCGGAACGAAAAGAGACGATGGAGGTGTATACAACGGCATACAACCCACTTTTTTTTAGGTATTCACATGCTTTCTTGATAGCTCTGGTGTGCCAGTGGTTCATGGAGATGAGGTCACGATTAGGTCAGTCTGGGGTGCCAATTGTTCATGGAGATGGCCTTGGCGGGAAAGTGGGTCAAATGATGAGACAGGAGATCCCCTAGTTTAGTGGGTTTAAGCCCTACTCTCCTGTTGCCACTCCTGTTAGACATGTCCATTGTCAATTTGAGATAAATAAATTGAGAACACCACGGGCAGTGCTGCCGGTGCCTCACGCAAGCCGTTCAGGCGGGCAATGTAGCGATAGGACTCAGAGGTCATGTCCTCAGGTGCAAAGCTTGGGTCAGTTTCGTCGCCATCTGCGGACCCATGGAGGATCATCCAACTGGGCAAGTGGATAGAGTACTGTATCCCTAGCAGGTCCACTTACATATGGTTGTAGTACATACAACATCATGCAACCCACCAAACAAGGGTCAGTGTCTGTAAGCCGTAAGCGGCTTAAAACCTTCTCGAGGAATCTGGACAAGCCTGGGCTTTTGTTCTCCAGCTGCCAGTGCATGAGGTCTGGTTTGGCACCCCTTCCCAAAGACTGCCCTTCTGCCAAGTGCTATAAGTCTAAACCAGCCATGGTTAACCAGCATGGAAGTGGCTTGCCACCACCACCTGGGACTGGTCTTCTAAAGGAAGGCTATCCTCATTTCGGGGCCATGACCAACATGACCAACATGACTGATGATTCTTTGATGCGCGGCTTCTGCGCGGCTTCTGCGCGGCTTCTGCGCAGTGACCCGCACGAAGTGCCTCTCGCGCGTTCCACGCCCGATCTCCGGACGCCGATCTGCCCGATCTGAGCCGATCCGAGCCGAGCCGCAAAGTTATCTCGGTCCGCCGGGTTGCCACCTGTGTGGCCCAGCATCAGAGTTCGACGCGAGCGTGAACCGGCAGGGTAGAAGGGAGGGAGGCGTAGGTTGTGATGTCGTTGTGAGATGGGATGTATATGGTGATGGGTACCACCGAGAAGCGGGAAGTGAGAGCTTTCCATCGTGTTGATGCCTCCATATATCTACCCAGGCGGGTGCCACCAAGCAAGCCGAAAACCTCTCTTCTTCACACCTGAACGCGCAGGTCTTAGCCGCTGTGCCGGGCCCTTCCAAGTCCATTTCGGATGCTGCTGTAGACTTGAACAACCTTTAAATGGAACTTTGTCAAAGATGATATTGTTTAACTGTTTGGTCCCTCTGGCTTTTGTCATCTTATGTCCATCCACCATTCACTGGTTATGCAGCTTCGCTCAGTGACTGTTCCTCATTGACCAAATACCTTCTGCATCCTCATGCACCACACTCTCTCCCTCTCTCTCTCTCTCTCTCCATGTGTCAAGCAGAAAAAAGAAACACTAGAGACTAGAGACCTTCTCCAACTCACTTCACCTCCCCCACGTTCTCCCCAATGTTCCACGTTCTCCCCACCTTTAACGGTCCGTTTCGCCATTCGCCATTCGCCTTCCCTGCCTGCTTGCGTGGGCACCGCTCTCCACGCCATCGAGGCACTGAGCTCCTCTCGCGCCCAGCCGTCCAAGGCACTCCCCGGCGTGTCGAAGTCCTGCTCATCACCTGACGCCACTCTGAACGGAGAGCTGCGGGGCCGCACGCGCGGGCCAGGCCCTTGGGGTCTGCTCTCTTGAGGGGTCTGCTCGTTCCTCATTCTTCCGTTACGGCCGTTCTTCTTTTCTTTCGGCCGGGGAGCTTTCGTGATGGTTCTTCTTGGACTGATGGACGGACCACTTTCAGTGCTGCAGGAATGACTCACCAGTGATAGATTGTGGAGTCCTATAAGCTTTGTTGGCTGCCCATGACTCCCAAAGCTTAAGTTTACTCGAAATCCTTTGGGCCCAATCTTTCGTTGTTTCAATGTGCCCACGAGGTCACTTCTGAAGACCCCCCGAGCGTACACGCTGCAGACCCCCACGCGAGCCCGCCCGACGTACCGCACGTACCGCGCACGTACCGCGCCTGCGTAGTGCAAGGGCACGCCCGGCCAGAACGTCACCACTGCCAGACACATCCGCATGTGATCCCTGCCGTCTTCGATGCATGGGACCAATGCAGAGGCAAGCAGTTGGGTCTTCGATGTATGCGGGTTGCGTGGTGTTGGAGCCATTTGGGGTGTTGCGTAACAGCGAATCTAAGAATGCTTGCTCAAGGCTCATCTGAAACCATCTGGGCACCGACCTAGACGGCCCGACGGTGTGCGCGACCCGGCGCGGGTCGATAGGGACCCGCAGCCGTCCTTCCAGTCATGCTCTGCAAGCGCCAGTTGTCATGGTTATTGCAGAAGTTCCACATGGCATACCTCACCAGTGCGGAAGGACCCGGCCAGGTGTGGTGTGGTGGGTGGGAGTGTGTGGAGTGTGCCAACTGCCCTTCCAAACGGCCCAGAATACTTCTTGCAACTCCATCAATCCATACGAACAGCTCTAAGAGCTTAAGAGCCGAACAGTCCTACCACCGTGACGACCACCACCGAACGCCCTGGACCCGAAGACTTCTTTCCCCCATCTTCCCCCCTACCCCCGGCACGTCTCCGCGTCCCCGCGGTCCCGGCGCTCGGGCGCTCGGAGAGGCCGGGCGGCTCTTTTCGTTGAGTCATTGGATCGAAGGTGTCGATCATCTTGTTCTCTTCTCGATACGCGAGCCTGAGGAGCGAGGGAGCGAGGTCGGTCGATGGATGGCATGTCGATCGACGGACCTCTATGGAGCGACGGTGCTTTTTTGATGAGAGGGAACGTGGAAGGCCGGAACTGGACGACTGGACGCATGAATCATGTCGTCACAGCGGGGGGAAGATGTTTTAGAGTAGAACCTGACATTGAGCCAACAGTGGTCACCTTCGGAAAAACGTGTGTACGTACCAGAACCATACAAGGACCCATTTTGAACAGTAACATGGGCCTTTTGAATGGCTGCAACATATAGAGCTGAGGTTTTGTAGGCAGAAATCGATCAGCACGGACCAAGGCACGCCAAGCCATCCGCGTATTGGGCATCGTTGTAGACCATCGAAGTAAAGATGTACCAGTAATACCTGGACGCTTCGGACATATATTTTCTTCTTTGTCTGCTTCCCCTGAAGGGACCAGGAAGTCAGGCAACTGATATGAGCAAATGGTGAACATATGTGAAAAGGCAGCCGTTTGAGCTAGACAGCTTGGCCAAACCTGCGGACTCACTTCCTCTACCAACTGGATGGAATGACTTCGTGATCTTCCGCGCCCCCCGTTCAGGTGACTCTTCGGGGAGAATCCCTGATCAAAGCTGGTGAAGCTTGGATGTGTTCTCCACCTGGTCCCATGTTTCATGCTTGGGGTTCAAAGCACAAGTCCTTAGATTTACACTCTCTGAAATAATCATGAAAGTGGAAAACCACCTGTTTGTAGAGGAAAATGGTCATCCTTTCATGCCATCCACGGCCGGGCTCATGGATTCTTTCAGGGAATGATAGATGTTCCATGCCATCAAAACCTCTTCTCTGTCTCAACGGATTGGCTTTGGGGCGGAGACCGCTCTTTTACCCTTCCACCCGGAGTCCTTCTCTTCTGCTTCTCCAAGCGACGGATACACGATGCCGCCCTTCAGCGTGGCAATGCCCTCAGTGCAGGAAGGATGCGACACAGAACACACTGCAGGATGTGTGTTCCAGTGGCCAACTAGAAAAAACAAGTTCCGCTGCTGCTCCAGATGGAGAAACACACCCGCAGATCAAACCCCAACTACTCACCTCCCCCTGTTGGTTCATCCGCCCACAAACTGGGGTCCCAATCCTTGCACCTTTTCCTGCCATACGTCTGGGCTCATAGCTGGACCCCAAACACCCCTGCCAGTTCACCCTTCCTCAAGGGACAACCCTTCTCTACAGTGTTCTTAGAGTGTTCACCAGGTGACAGGAGTGACATCTAACACCAGATCATCCAGAGCTTCTGCATGATCACTGCCTAATCCGCAGGTGAAACCTGGCAAAACATGCACCGGAGCAACATCCTCAAATTCTCTCATTGACCTGGCACCATCAGTGGCATGAGGACTTCCTGATCAAGAATAAACGTCTCTGAGTCCAAGCATCATCAATGTAGCGGTCCTGGCCATACATCCGGTTGTCCCGGCCACGGCCCGTCATCGTGGCATAGCGCGCCGGTGTCACGTAGAACTCCCCGAAGATACCAAAGGACTCCTGCACTCGGCCAGAGGTGATGGCTTTCGAAGACGTGGAGTGACCAGGCCAAAAAGAAGATTTTCGACCAATCAGTTATCCAGCAGATCTGTGGGCATTTGGGGATCAGTATCCAGCCGATCCAGCCGATGTTCGATGACCATGTTTGATGGTTTTCACATTGCTTTCACCATCATTGAACCATGAACCCTCCAAAACAAGAGTCGCAAGAGTCGGTGCCAATCGCAGGTGCCCTCTCGTTCTCCATTCGGATCCCGTGGAAACGAGTCTTTGGGAGCAAGCACTTCTTCGGAATGGCCGCCTGGCCTTTTTGGCAAAAGCCGTGGGTCACATCTTTGCTTTTCATGCAAAGCATAGTGGCCTGGCCTGGACTCTATCTGGAAGCAACTTCCATGTCAGCTCGAAGTTCATATCTATAATTACCAAAGACCCCACCTATCCCAATCCAACTGTCCCAAAGCAGTGGTGTGCAAAACGCGGTGCGCACCTTGCCCAGGCTTTTGGCATGGGCACGCATGGCAGGAGCCCAGACCTTGTAGAAGTTCAACGGCACCTGACGTGATCACCGCGCGTGCGGACGTGCGTCGCTGATGTGCGAGCGACGACGATGCGAGAGGTGTGAGATCCAAAACCCACAGCAGTGGAAGCGCGGTCCAATCATGAATCTTGGGGAGTGCATCAAGGCGGTGTTACAGCAGTACAGGATGCCCCACATCGAATCCTAATGACCTAATACAAAAACAGTCACCAACCTTTTGCATTAGTGTGTACTCCATGTGACTCCATGTTTTACTTCCAGGAAATTCCATGTTGATCTTCATGTGCACTCCATGATGTACTCCATGTTGTACTCCATGGTACGTACCAGTACATGTGTGTACTCCATGTTGACTTCTATCGTCGTCAATTCCATCAATTCCCGTCACAAGAAATCTGGAAAAGCCGCGTTCGACGAGTTCGCTCGTGGCGCCTGCATCGGTGTATCAACACCTGGGCGGACACCGCGAGGGGTTGCTCTTTCAGAGGGTTGGACCATGGAGGATCCTTTCGACCTTCTCGAATTGTTTGACAACGGCGCTTTTCCACAGTGTCGAAGCTCCAAATGGTCATGTCATTGACACATGCACGGAGGGGTCAATAGGGTCAATGTTAAGGTCCATGCATCCAATTGCCAGTAAGGGTCATGATGATGCTTAGGTTGCAGACCTTCCAATGATGATCTTGTACTGACTGTTCCTGGTTTACCGGAGCACATCCTAAAGCCCATATAGGTCAATGGATTGCAATGGTATTTCCCAAACCAAGCTAATCTTGCGACTTCAGACCTTCCACCTTCGGCAGTCGTGGCTCTCACCTGAGGGGCAGAAGACTGACAGGTCCAATGGCTCAGCGAGCGGCGGAAGCCATCCACGTCGATGCTTTCGATGAGCGCTTTGGTCATGGCAATGTACTTCTGCTGCACGCGTTCGTGCTCCAGTCGGAGATCCTCACATGGGATTCGTGTCTCGTTCAATACAGCGGGACTACCGCACAGCAGTGATAAGTCAAGATTGAAAATTTGAACTGAGTCTGCACTGCAGTGGACTACTATGGAAGAAACATCTTCTTTTGATATCAGTCTGCATTACTTATGACTACCTACCAACTATGCTGCTTGATGTTATTGGTCATGCTTTTTAGAAGTTTTTGGGGCCGCGGGGCATCCATGACGCCATAGATCTTCCCGTAGTTGATCTGCCAGGGATCGAAGTAATCATTCAAGTCGCCTGCAAACCCGGCGTCGGTCGATGCGGTCGATGCGGTCGGAAGGCGCCAACGCCGACGCTGTTGGGGGGTCGGTGCAGATCGGTGGACCAGTTGGATCTCGGAGTAAATGAGGAAATGATGTCTTTTGACCCATAGAAACTAAATGAAACGATCAATCTGACTCTGACCCAGTCAGGTTTCTTGCCAAAAGGTTTGGCAGAAACCACCCCTTCCCCATGATCATGTAACCTTATTTAAAGGCCACCCTGCCGCAAGCAATCGCCGCCCACCACCCGCCACCCTCGCCACCCGTCAAAATCCGTCCAACCCACCAAACACCACAACTCCCCCAAGAAATCCAAAGCGATCTCCGCACCGTTGTGGTGGAAATCCGAGTTGATGTAGGTGCCAGCTCCGCTGTCCGTCACCCACTCTCCATATTGCCCGTAGAGCGTGCCATTGTAGGTGGCCGACGCATCCTGCCGTCCAAAGGGATCGGTCTTGGGGGGAGGTCGTCTCAAACGGCGTTGCCCATGGTGCCGCATTGCCTTAAAAGGGTGTGCCTAAGGATCCATGTGATCTTCTGAGTGATCTGCGAGATTCTTGATGGTTCGTCTATATAGCATATAGGGGTGTGAAAAAAGAAGAAACGGCCCTTGGATCAGATTTGCCCATGTCCTATGTCTATTCCGAGTTGCAACCCCCTTGCAACGCCCGGAGACCCGTTGGAGCTGGGCGGGCCGAACTCCACGCTCCAAGCGTCTCTGAGGCGCCGGACCCAGGTGTTGTCGTACCAAAAATCTCTGTAAGGCTGCTTCCCTTGCGGCGTGTCGTACAGCAACTCCTCCGCGCTCCGCGGCTTCAACCTGAGACATCTGAAGACAACGGGCGGAAAGAACGAGTGACAAAAACACCATGAGTTGCACCGTTGCACCCTGCTGAAAAAGGGCTTCATATGGAAGCTCATCAATTTTGGAGAGGTCCGATGCAAAAAACAATGGCCTGGATCAACCTGAACGAAGAAGGAGCCTCACAGGGTCTTGAACCTGAACTACCTCCTTCAACCTGAACTGAACTGAAGGAGTCGGAGCCTCTCAAGGCAATTAAATTCTGATGGAACCTCTTAACCCGCCACCTCCTCCGTCTTGGTCGAACTCCACTGGCTGGTGCACCGCTGCGGATCGCACCGTGCACCACTCGGCCGAAAGCATGCGCCACCCGCCCACCGGCCGAGGTGCAGGTACTCGCGTCCGTCGGCGCCTTCGTGGAAGCGCCAGGGCGCGGAGCTCTCTTCGTGTCCTTCGAAGTAGAACTCGTTGGCCATGTGATTCATGACCACCTCGGGTGGAGGTAGATAGAGAGATGTAAGGCAGATCTTCACATAGAAAGGGTGGGGGGGGGAATGAAGCAAGGCATCGGTTTTTTGTGGTGAGCAAGAACCAGAAGGAGTCACGCAGTCATGAGGGGTGCAAGCCGGTTTGGGTGGTGGTAATCATGGGGTTTCAGCTGGATTCAGTGGTGATGCCACCTCCATAAGGTCCCACTGTATCCCACTGTAAGGTCATGCAGTCATGGGGGTAAGCCAGTGGTACTGTGGTCGTTCCCACTCTTGTTTCTTGAGGAGTCTTGGGCTCTACACTCCCGCGTCACTCCTCGTGGTTACGTGGAGTGCTTCACCACCACCTGCGACTGGTCTTCGGAGTTTTTTCAGGGTCATCCCGAAATGTCTGGGCCATGGACAATTGTATACGTAAATTCCACGTATATGTCACTATGGATTCTTTCTCTAGGGAGGCTCTACTCCATTCTTGATGGATGGCTTCCTGACCACCTCATCATGGGCATCAAGGACAAGGTCCAGCTCCAGCTCCTTGGAGTCCCTATGACCCACGGCTGGTCAGGACCGTCCGGACCAGATGCGTTTTTCTCCACCGAAGTCACTTGGCAGTTCTTTCATACCTTAAAAAGCCTCAGGTAATATATATATATATATTATATATATATATATTATATATATATATATACCTTCCTCGGGCCAAATTACGTGGAATTGTCCATGGCCCCGAAAGGTCCGAGCCTGAAATTCGATCCGATCACCATGATGAGTGACTCGGGAGTGTGGGAGCTTCATCAAATGTGGGGTTCCACCCCAAAAGGACTCATTGAGGGTCAGGGTGCGAATCGGATTCGCGGCTTTGGGCCACCTAGACCTGGAGATGCCAAACCATTCTGGAAGGGGAGGTCTATTCATCAACCGCGTCTACACTCCCTGGAACTAACATGGTTACGTGGAGAATGGCCCCGAAAGGAAGACCATGAAATCCACGAACCAAACAGGTGGTGAACTCCACTTCCATGTGAGTGACTCGGGAGTGTAGATTGTTTTGACTTGCTTAGAAACTGCATGAAACTCTTTTCAGCTGCTTCGGCTGGAGTCAGAGTCTGACGAACTCCCAAGTGCTTCGCTTGTGCCATCAGAGTGGCAGTCGACCACATCAGGGTCCGCGGAGGAACAGCCACACCTCATGACCCGAGACACGAAGAGCTCAACCAAGAATCGGCCACAGGGCAACTTCAAGGTGCCGCGAATGCCTAGGGCAGCAAACAGCAGCACCATCAGGAAGGAGAGGTGGTACAGACTGTGCAATGCAACACATAGAAGGGTTTGCTGTTTGACCAGGCCCAGCTCCACAAAGAAGAGCGGAGCGACTGTCTTCGCCATCGAGTTGAGCATGAAACATCGTTCATCAACAGAACCTCTGAAAAGGAGAATCAAGAAGCCAAGTCGGGCCAGGACGGAGAATGCTTGTAAGGAAAGGATGAACCAATGAGGCTGAAGCCAGTCATCCTGAGTCTCAGGAGACTCCGGCAAGCACAAGAGGAAGAGATATCCACCCAGGTGCCAACAACCCAGCAGCAGCTGGGGTCCCAGCGCCAGTACAGGGATCGCCCACTGTACCACCCCTGATTGTCGAAGCTGAACTCCCTGCAAAGATGCATCTCGAAGTGCATCCGACGTCATGCCCGCATTCAATAGAACTTGAATGACTTTGTCCACTTCATCGACATGATCACCGATTTCGTGTCGAATCTTCTCCTCATCCTGGACCTCCGAGCACGATGCGCCACGAATGGAGCCTTGATATTGATCTCGTAGTTGGGTTGCTTCGTTCTTGGCTGTTTGCCAGTTCACCCGGTCCACTTCAGCAAGTAAAAAATATCCAATCACGCAAGCCCTTGCATACCCATCGGTCACAGCACGTAGTGCCTTGGTGGTAGGAAGCAGGGGCAGTCCATGCGGAATTTTGCGTCCAAAAATAGCTGCGGTTCCACCAGCAAGGCCTAGATGGTTCGTGATCAAACAAATTCTGATATGACCACAGTTCTGACTGACAAGGCTGGCCAAAAGCGCCAGCAAATTGATCGTCGTGAGGGACTGTAAGGCGTTTTCCCAGCGGCCGGCTTTGAAGATGATGCCAAGGGTGACACCTACGAGTAGGGCAGGAAGCATCCTGAGCCAAGAAGACAATACATGACGCCTGATAGGAGGCGTCGCAGTCCGAATAGTCTTGTTACTTTGAAATGCCAAGTAGGCTTCATATCCACACCACAACCTCGTGTAGACACTTTTGTGCCGGTTCGGCACCACCAACATATATTTGGAACTCTGCAGGGCAATTGCAAATGGAGATGAAGACGGAGACTGAAGCAAAGCAGCAATGTCCAAGTTCTGTGGATTTGCGAGCATACAGCACCAAGCATGACGAGCACGCCAAGGCCAAGATGTCAGCACCTTGTCAGTAAACTCAAACACATCTTCCTGCCAGGCATGAGTGATAAACAGATCGCAGTCAAGCCCTTCAGGATTCATCATCAAAGCCCAACTCATTTTGCCAGCAGCAGCTGTCACTGGCTTGATGTAGTGTTCATTGACTGCATAGATGCTTGGCCCATACGAAGCTTCGAAGTTCTCCTCGAAGGTCTCACCATCTTGAATGACACGATGGACCTCCGACTGGAAGAACTTCAGATCTGCGAAGGTGATGCACCACCTCGCTGGGTTCACCATTTCATGCAGTTCGATGGCCTTCTGCGTCGGTATCCGCGACCGCTGGGAACCAAAGCTTGCCATTTGCTGAAACGATCTCATCGTCATCCACTGTAGGACTAGAGCTACTGCTTTGAATAGCTCGAGCCAACTATGGCACTGAAAAGACGTCCAGTCAAAGAAAACAAAAACGAGATCCTTCTCAAGAGGTCTCCGAATGTTGTAGTCTTATAATAATACTTATAAGGTCTTATATAGTCTTTTTGTCGTCATAGGAGTCGCTTCACTTTCCTTAACACTCATTAGCGTCTGTCTTTTGGTATCTTATACTGCTTCTCGTTCGTCTGGTTGGCAGTCCACTATATATAATAGGTCTTATGAACACTTCGCAAGGCTTCTGGCGTTGGTCCAATGAAGAGCTTTGGTTTGGGATGTGGACAAACTGGGTTGATGTCTGGTGTGTGAGAAAAAATCGAATCATTGCTCATTCCCTCTTCTTCCCGTTGGCATTGGCAATCGAGGGGAGTTTGACCAAGCTTTCCGGTGGTGAAGGATCTGATCTGTCAGCGGTATCACTCATGGATCTCAGACCTGGTTCAAGCCCACAAGCACCAAGCCACACACAGTTCGATGCAACTCCAAGCCACCCCAAACCCTGTCAAAACGGCAAAAGAATGTCAAAGAACCCCAAACCGACTGAGCTCGTCCCAATTTTCCGCCCACCTGCTGCATGCTACTTCCACCCAAAAAAAGAACTTCCCCATCTCTCTCTCTTTCTCTCTCTCTCTCTCTCTCTCTCTCTCCCTCTCTCCTCTTTCTCCATCACCCCCCTTTTCCACGCTCTCCAAAGCCATGCGACATCCACTATGACGTACATCCCCAGCTCATGCGCCGCCTCGGTCAACGCCCTCAGCTCCTCCAGCGTTCCCAAACGCTGGTCGATGGTCGTGAAGTCCAGCTGCGCGTACCTCGGTCGAGCGCGTCCGGTCCCTTCGAGACACCAACACCGAGTTCGGCGCATCGTCGGCTTCGGCTTTGGGGGGACAATCCCAAGGTGTCCAAGGTGGCTGCCAGGGGCGTGACAATCGGATCGTTCGTGCTTGGTGAGGTGTTGTCGTTGTACTTTTGCTACGTTGCTAAGGGCGTCTTGGGACATAGCTGGTCTAGCCCAGACTTCCGCTGCGCCCCCCAACTTCGCTGCTACATCGTCACTCCTTCGTGCTTCCGACCCAGGAAGCACCCCATGAGGCCGTCCAAACAGCTCCGGCCATCCGAAACGCTGCCCAGGCGCTGGTGATACATGTTGAAGCCTTAGAAACGACGACGACGAAGCTGAAGCCGGAGCGACAGGAGCCGGCATGGCAGGAGTTTGCGCGCGGAACGACATGAAATTTCAGACGATGGAGATATCATTGCCTCCGGTGACCTTCCATGATTTAAGGCACTGACCGTCACTAACTGAAAAAAGAAAAAGAACGGCGATAACGAAAACAAACGAAAACGGTGGAGCAATGGACCTCCGTCCACAACATTGTCCGATCCTCACGCCCAGACTGCACACACTTCCCCCAAGACCAGACCCACCCAACACCCCACCCAACACCCTTTCCCCTTGCTCCTGCTTGACCCTCCACCGTCTCCCCTCTGCGAGGCGCCGTTCTGGAAAATCGGGGAGATCCAAATTCCGTCGCAGCCGAGACCTGAACACTCCGCGTCACCGGGACCGGCGGCGGCGTCACCGGACGGGCGTGCGGTCTTCGCCCTCGGCACAAGGGCGAGGTATCGGCTGACTGCACAAGGGCCCGATCCTCGGGCGAACCGCCAAGTGTTGATGCTGTTTGCGGAAGGGTCCTATCCTCACGAGGTAGTACATCTTGTTTTAATCAATGTGGGTGTTTTACGGTCCACAGCCTAGCTCCATCCCCTTAACTGCAGTGGTGGGATAGTTTTGTCACTTGTTCATGTCGGACGTCTCAGGGATCTTAGAGATCTCAGGGAAGCTGATGGATCTCACTGAAGCTGATCCCTGAGACTTCTTCAACAGCTTCCAACAGTCTCTATTCAGACTTCTAGATGCCACCGCCGCCCCCATCGCCTTGGAAAGGAAAGAGTTCAGTTTGGAAGTCACAGTGAGTGGGGGCAACCACCAGAGAGGCTTCTCTACATCATCACTGTGTGGTATATCAATGCATGTTCTGTTTCGTTCCACTCAATTATTGCGTTGCATTGAATGGCTTTAATGTCCATCTACCTCTTCAACCGCTGCGCTCACGTCCCGCCGACTCTGCCACAGCCACCTTTGATGTAGTGGAGCTTGCTCGTGAGTCCGGCGAAGTCCCCTCCTGGCACTGGACAGGTGTCTCCCCCATGGCCACAAGCACCACTGGGTCTTTTCTTCGAGAAGCACCGCGGGCCACGTGCTTGATTAAGACCAGGGTATCAAAATATGGGAAATCTATATGGAAGGGTTGGAAATCGGTTGGATTTAGGCCACCAAGTTATGATGTCCCACAGTAGCACCTTGGCAACAAATTGTAAAACTATGTTTCAGGGATTACAAAATCCACATGCGGTCATCCAGATCGACTTCAAGCTGAATAAGACCAAGTACAAATAGTCCTGTATGAGATTTCCTCGGCAACCAACTCGAATGGAAGTGAATGGAAGCCACACCTTTTGCTAGCAACTCTGCCCACAGAGCAAAAATGAACATGTGCTTGCCCTTAGCAGTCAACATGCATCACTCTACTACTTTAAACAAAAGAACGAAGAAGAACTCATTCATCGCCCTGCTTGGAAAAAACAACGCACAAGAATTCATGCATCACTCTACTTGGAACAAAAAAAAGAACTCAGTCATTACTACTCTAACTTGGAAAACAACCAAAAATAAACATCTACACACTGCCACACAGCAGTCAGTCTACAAAAGGAACAAAACCAATCATCCACATCGCAGTTCGTTCCGTTGCTTCGTTCGTCGTTCATTGCTTCGCCGCTCCATGTCGATAGGTCATATCTCGCACGTCGAAGCCGCCCGCGAAGAGCTCGTTGTTCCTGTGGCAGAGGAGCCTTTGAGGGAGGAAGAACTGCATGTGTGGTGGAAAGAACCGTTCTTCACATCTTAAGTCATAGCATGTCATTTAGCTCTGTATTTGAATGGCATTATAGTTGCACTTGTATACTTTTGTATAAGTGATGATCATTTCCAGGGTAGTCGAATCTCTGAATCTCTGCGGGGAAATCGTGTTGCTTGAGGTTCCCCCAACAAAACAGTGTTGTGAGGCTCACTTTGAACCTGGTAACACAGGACTCAGCCGTCAGGCAGTATGCAAAGGAAGAACTTCATCATCACATGAACATAGCAACACAATGAATTAAAAGAAGAGCTCCATGGAGGCATGGTCAGGAGACATGTCACACGAACACCTCACATGCAAGTGGATGGCACCCCCTGTTCGCAAAAATAAATGTCAACTTCTAAGGGGACCATACCATCTTCCATATCCCAAAACACTCCATGGCACTCCCACAGGACTGCCAACCAGGCCAAGGCGTGGTGGTTTGGGGGGTACGTGTGGGGCGGCAGATGCACCCCGCCTGGGGTCGCCATCTGCAAAGCCTCGGTGTAGAAAGGAGGAGCGCGTGGAAGATATGGTAGTGGTCGGCGTGTTGGTCCACAAAGGGGTGAAGCAAAAGCAAAAAGAAAACACGTCAAGCGGAAAGGCGGAAAAAAAAGGGGGTGATGAGGCTTAATTACTTCTGACTCCTGACTCTGTTGGTTGATGATCTTCTCTTTCCGTTCAACTTTGATCTTGAACACTCGCAATGTGAACAAGCATGTCAGGACATGAATACACCTTCAATCAGACCCTTTTTTCACCGAGTAACGATCGGTGATCAACTGGTAGATCGAGAAGGACCGCCAGTCCTGGTGAACCATGCACACCGACTGAACGTGCCCTGTGCTGTGCTGTGCGCGTCAAACCAAAGGATTGTGTGCCGTGAGCTCAGGAGGTCCGTGGGTTTGACTAGGTTGAAGAACTTGAGACTCATCTTCGGATGTCAAGACATGTGGTTAAAGACGTGAATGGAATGCCATCGGGCCTAGAAACTGAGCTGCCTATGGGTCAAACCCGTCACAAATTGCTTTAACAATGTGTTGCGAGGCGAATTTGTCCCCCACGCCTAGTGCAAAGCAGGCACAAATCCCAATCACATTGGGCTGTGGGATTTATTGGATGTCTAATGAGCGTCTCAAGATCATCGTCGTTCGAAAATCATTGGATATTGCCGCAACCGCTGAAGGCCTCACGCCATTTCCAACACAAGTTCATTAAGTCCAGATCGCTGAAACTGTTTGAAACGCTCTCATGCACCATGAAGGGTGACCCAGTCACCCACATCACCTGGTGAGAACTTGTCCTTCTAGCTTTGATCCTTTCCAAGCTTGGGTCATTCTTGGGCCAGCTCCGGGGTTTGGGATCCTCCTCAAAAACGCCGCTGCCAAAAAGAAAACAAGCACCTCGCCCCAGTGACAGAACTCCCTCTCCCTCACTCCGACGTCGGAGGTGGCATGCACCCGCCTTTCCTCCGCCCCCGCCGCCCCCCCCGTGGTGAGACCGGTCCGTGGGCGAAGGGAAGTAGTTGTGATTCTCCCAGCGGCCGTAGTACTTCTCCGGCTCGTATCTGGGTATGGCTGTGCTGCACCCAGTCGATGCCCAGTCACTCTCTGCGCGCTCTCCCCTTTCTTGCCGAAAAGCAACCGGCTTTCTCGGAGCTACCCCCATCCAAGGTGGAGGAGTGGCAAGTCATTCCATTAGCTGCTATCTCTCTCTTGGTAGTGGGAGCATGTTTTCCCAGTTTAGGAAGATGGGATTTCGGAAGAATCTCAGTAGAATGGACATTCATCACTTGGATGGTTTGCATGTCCTTTTAGAAGAAGGAACTCATCATCTGCCAAAGAAGTGGGTTGCTGCTAAGTTTGCAACTTAAACTACCTAGAAGGGGCTACTGGTTTCGCCAAGGACTTCTTTCCCCTCCTTGCAAGGTCCCGCCAGCCATGCATGCAAATGCAGAGGCCGAATACCCTCTGGTCCGAGCCTGGTCTCAAAGTTGATGTTCCTGAGATGCGATGTGTTTTGGAAAACGCTTGTAGCTCGAGGAAGAATGGCACCCGACAGTCACACGAAGTGGGACAAATCTCAGCCTTTTTGTTGGATCTTCAGTTAGCGGAAAACAAGGTGAACCAGCTGCCTGATCAGTGATTTCAGTGACACTATCTAACAAAACGGTTGAAGGTTTTTGGCCATGGAAAGCGGTCTAAAGGTTTCGGCCATTGAAAAGGTCAGAACCTGAAGGCACCCACTTCTTGGGAGAAGAATTGCCAACTCCGCAATGCCCAGGGCAGACAGGGTCGAACGTCGATCGTAGACTCTGGATTAATAAATCCCCCCATTCATATTGCTCTAAGTCAACAGTCTACATTAGATTCAATTTCTATTCTCAATGTCTTGTTGAAAGGTCATGGCTGACCTCAAGAATAGCTGACCTCAAGAATACCCCTCAATCCATCGGTCGTTGCCTCGAAACAAGATCTCGTGGGCACCCATCGGTAGTGCTGTTGGTTGATACAGAAGGTGAGTGTAGTTGCTGGGACTTCATCGGGGCTGTGCCATGTGACACCACAAGATCGTGGGCCAATTCCTCATACAACAATGATAGATGGTGCTAGAGGTACCATGAGGCATCCACTCTATATGCTGTAGTATCCAGAAATTGGTCCCATCAACGGATGGTAAGTCCTCACAAAAGGTCTTCAGAGGTATGGAATCGTAGGCCTGAGATCCAGGCTTGAGATCAATGCTTGGTGGTTTTAGTTTGCCAGCATACTACACTCAGTCGTTTCTGTTGCGCTCAAACATCTTAGGATGTCCTCGTGCAGGCGCGTTTCGACCCTGTCTCCCTGTCCCCCGCCCTTGCATTCAGAACGTCGGCCTGTCTGGTTTGCTCCAAGTGGCCAAGCACTGTTCTCAGCTGTGCGCGGTGCGCACCAAACATGTCCCACCTCGCCGCGAACCGCGTAGAGCATCCCACCACCCAAAGAACCGACTGGCGTGTAAAGGAAAAAAAATCGTCAAACCAAGGCAGTGCAATCTTTGGTCAAGTTCAATGTGGGTGAGCTGGCAGCTGGTGGAGTCAAATTCGCGCTTGGATTAAGAAAAGGATCCAACGAGAATCCTTCCGAGCTTTTTGGGCCCTAAACCCGTTTAGGTCTCCATGCCCCGAGAAGTGCGTCTTCAAAAAGTCCTTCAGTCGTTCCGAAATGTTCCAATAGTACCTGTGTGCTAAACAACCAGTGACAGCAGGTCACAGGTTCAATTCTGTGTTGCCACTAAGTCGACTTCTTCTGGCGGAAAGCTCCAAATGCAGTGCAAAGAAGCCAACCAAATAAACAACTCCAACATTCCTGCAACTTGGCAGAAGTTGCCACACCACCCAAGTTGCAAGCTTTCCGTAGTTTCATGGTACAGGTACGTGACAGGTTTCTACAAAAATGATGTCCGCAAAAAACCGTGTACGCCGTGCGCTCCTTCAGACACTGTGAGTGAACTTCCACCATTCACGGTCCTGCTGATCAGGCCTTCCGCCCAATGATCTTTGATTCGTTCCTAAACACCCAACAAGTCGCGATGATGCACTTTTCCACAACAAATCCAGAAGAGTGTGTCAAAGGAAGGAAGAAGCATAGCCAGTATATCAGCTTAGAGCCCAGACCCAGTGAGCCGGTGCGGGTGTAGATCCCTTTTCAACCACTCCAATCCGTCCCTGTCTTCCACTCTGTTCCTCCGTCTTCGCCGAGGTGCCCAAGCTGCCACCAGGGCGGCGCGAAGGCACTCGTGGCCCATTGTCGCGCTGTGCAGCCCGCCGTTTGGCCAAGCCGCCCACCTTGGATGGGCCCCGGGGCGTGGAAGGCCAAGCCCGCTCACCTGGAGGTCAGGTGGTTCACGGAGGGGGGGGCGCGCGGGCGCGCTGCCAGGAGTCATAAGATCCCTGGCCCAAACGGATCCTCCGGATCAAAAGTATGGTGACGGCACACCCCAAACCGTATGGCACTTTCAGGGTGTGTGTGTGGTAGTCTCAAACTCAACAAGAGCCTCCCCAAATCCACTTCTCCAAAGCGACCAGGTGGTGGTGGGCTGGAGGTCTTCCTATGTTGAACAAACACCAACCGATCCTACAATCTGAACACCTTCTGGTCTTGAACCAACCAACCTGTCTACCGGCCCAACAAACTGATCCACTGAGCCCAGGAGCAGCTTGAGTCGCGCGCAAGCCGCGCCCCAGTGATGTTTGCTTGGTGGAAAAATGACTGCGGGCGGCGGTGGCGCTTACGGCAGATGTTGGGCAATGAGATAGCCACACGAAGTCATGTCGGCAGACGTCTGAAGACTGAAGCAGTAGCCGTGCATTCGCACTTTCAGAGAGTATGCTTTGTGGTATGTTCCAGGCGTATGCTTCAGGGGTATGATTAGCCTAAGTCGGTCATCCAACCTTCATGTCACTTACACACGTTGAAACGAATACAAACCCACATTTCGCATCATTTCACCACATCCCAAACGACCCCAACGCACTTCCTCGGCTTCACTTCACACTAAGCTTCACGATTTCACTTGTGATTTCGCATTGCACCTCCCCACTTTGCCAATCACAACGCTAGACTTTATCACATGTGACACTTCACCAGCATAAATCACAGTCGCCTCACACCACATTGACACATGACTTCACCACACTTCACATCATGCCCTATCGGGTTTCGTACTGCCCAACAGGGTCCTCCAAAGCACGCAGCAATTGCAAAGCCTGCTCCAACCCTTGTGGTCCTTGTTGGGAATCTCCCGATCGATTTTTCATCTGAACCGAGCCGCCATGCCAGACAAAGCTACCCTTGCTGCAGCACGGACACGGGTATATGAGTGTTGAAGGTTCTTGACCAGCTCTGAAGAATACTTCACCAATTCACCGGGGAAGAGGTTGCCCACGGCTCTACAAGCCGCAGCACGGGCATCGAAATCCGAGTCTTCAAGCTTCTTCACCAATTCTGGCCAAGTCAGCCGGGGAGAGGCGGCCAAAGCTTCCAAAGCCGCAGCACGGACGTTGGACTCACTATCTTCAAGCTTCTTCACTAGGCGACTGAAGAGCTCAGGACTCCCTTTGAGCGAACTAAAGATAGAAATGAAGACTAAACATGTTCAAGGAGTAGTTTCACACGAACCCACGAACCTGTTGAAGATCAAAACACTTGGAATCGGCTTTGCGACCCTTCACTGCAAATGGCACCAATAGCGAGATTTGATCCACCCTTCATCTCATCCTCCAGGGCACCTCCATCGTTCCCGCTGCGCCGGTCGGTGCGTCTCGCCACGAAGGGATGTTGCTTTGCGCGGCACATGGTCATCCGTTGCGCCGGGTCCAGGCACAAGAGCTGCCTCATGAGGTCGATAGCATCCTCTTGCAGCTCCGGGCGAGAATCCAAAAGGGGCTTGAGCCTAGTGGTTTTCCACTTCGGATACCTCTCTCTCCAATGTTTCAGCTGCTTCCCGCCCGGCCAGTTGGTGTTGCTGGGGGAGCCAAGGAGGCGAAAGATTTTGAAGAGGGTGTCCACGTCACTATCTCCGGGGAAGAGCGGGCGTATCGTGGCCATCTGTGCCATCAAGCAGCCAGCTGACCAGCAGTCCACTTCAAGACCGTAGCGCTGCTCTCCCAAAAGCAACTCGGGTGCCCTGTACCACCTGACCCCTACCACTTCATCATAGTAGGCACCACAAGTGTTCATCACCTGCACGTGCTCAAAGTGTGCGATCTTCAGGGTACCATCATGGGTCAAAAGGATGCTCAAAGGATTCAAATTCCGATGCGCTATCCTCCTGGCATGACATGCATCCAAACCCTCCATGAGATCCGAACTGTGCCGTCGCAAGGTCTCCATGGGCATCATCTCCTGTTTTCTTGCGAAAGCCTTGAGGGTCTCGGAGAGAGTGAGTGGGAGGAACTCGAAGACCAGCCAGATGTCATAGCCCACCTCCAAAATGTCGTTAAGCTGGACGATGTTTTGGTGGTTGAGCGATCGCAACACAGAGATCTCCTGTTGGATAACGGCCAATGGAAGGCCATCGTCAAAGCTTCTCTGGTTCACGTGAAGTTTCGTGATAGTGAACTTTTTCTGAGAGCTCGATCCCTCTGCAAGCCACAAAGAGCCATAGTACCACTTTGTGATCTCCTCCAAGACCAAATATTTGCCACACAGGGCTGCACCTAACAGTAGGTTGGAGGCCATCGTCAGTAGGTTGGAGGCCGTTGCTAGTAGGCCGAAGGCCATCGCCATTAGGTTGGAGGCCATCAGAGGCCATCCCTTATAGGTTGGAGGCCATTGCTAGTAGGTTGGAGGCCATCGCTAGTAGGTTGGAGGCCATCGCTAGCAGGGTGGAGGCCATAGCTAGCAGGCCAGGCCAATTCGGGAAGAGGAGGCGGACTTTGGAATTGAAGTGTTTAAGTTCAAGCTACTTCACCAGTTCTGAAGAATGCTTAGCCAAGTCATCGGGGGAGAGGTGGCCCACAGCTCTACAAGCCGCAGCACAGACATCGGAATGTGAGTTTCAAGCTTCTTCACCAGCTCTGAAGAATGCCTAGCCAAGTCACCGGGAGAGAGGTGGCCCAAAGCAGTACAAGCCGCAACACGGACATGG